TTTGTGGGTGTCATAAGGAAGGACTATTATCCGAGTAACGAGCGACCACCCCAACAAACACAATAAAGAAGAGACCTAACCCTAACCCCACCCCCAAAAAGAACCTGCAACGGGACTCATGTAAAAAGGCCAAAACAAGTCCTAAATGAAAAAAAAAATTACAATGAAAAAACCACAGTCCAAAACAAACAAGGAGCATATAGAATCTAGATCTAGATTCTAGATCTATAATGGCTTACATCTACATTGCTATAGGGTTTGATACAATAACACATTCAATAGAATTGAAATATGAATCCTCCATATAGATCTAGATCTAGATTTTAGATCTATAATGGCTTACATCTAGAATCTACATTGCTTTTGGGTTTGATACAATAACACGATAGAATTGGAATATGAATACTCAATATAGATAGATAGATATATAGATCTAAATCTAGTAATCTAAATAAATTTAGATCTAGATCTACATCTTGTAGAACAAGAGAATAGGAATAGGCCTTGAACTAGAAATCCACATCCGATTCCCAACAGAGGGACTCAGCTGAGTCTAGATTCTAGATCTAGATCTATATATAGATGTAAATAAATAAATAATTCACGAACCTGATGAAAGAATTATTTTTACCAATATTAATATGGCCGGCACTATTTCTCCGAACGTTCGAGAAAATAAAGCTGGGCACTATTTCTCCGAACGTTCGAGAAAATAAAGCTAGGCACTATTTCTCCGAACGTTCGAGAAAATAAAGCTAGGCACTATTTCTCCGAACGTTCGAGAAAATAAAGCTGGGCACTATTTCTCCGAACACTCTGAAATCTCATCCTTTCCCGCAAATTTCGGATATTATATAGATCTAGATCTATAATTATAGTATAGGCCTACCAAAGATTGTTTGTATACAATATGGTTCAATCTGTCCAAAAAATGTCCGCAGTAAATATTTATATAAAGAAATTAAAAATGCTACAATTCCAAACAGTTTTTCGCTACAGATATGGCGTGTTGCCTATGAAGGGTGCTGCTCTTAAGTTAAACTGAATGTGTTGTGTTCACTCGTGTGCTGTCTAGTCTAGATCTACGGAGGGTTATTGATAACGACACATAGATCTAGCACAGATATCTGCGTTTGTAGCGGCTGCGACCAATCAATCGTGGCTCGAATTTTGGGGCATTTTTGGGTCCCCAAATCGGAGGATGAAAGTCAAATTTTAAAAAAAAGAAAGAAACCGAACCTCTTTACTTTTGAAAGAAAGTTCACTTAGCTTCACTTCGTCTCTTTCTCACTTGTTGTCACCACGTTGATTTGTTGAATACGTTACAGTTACTTTTATTTTTCCCTCTTTGTGCTGTTTTATTTTGTTAGTGTGTATTTTTTCCTTTCTTGTTATTGTTCTGATGTGTTGTTTTTCTATCAATTTTTTTTAATGGGGAAAAAAGGGGGGGGGAGGGTTATATAGTGTAACGTCATTTAATTTGATGTTCCTACCTTCATTAGATTCTAAATATATATATACACATGTATAAATATATAGATTTAAATGTGTTATGTTAGAGCGTACGTTCCACCAAAACCGAGCACATGTACTGACACTGGCAGGCCCCCTGTGTGTGGTTCCATAATTTACATGTAATATCCTGTACTTTGTTTTCAAATTACGCACATTAAGTGTTAAAACAGCCAATCTTCTTCGGACAGGTGGACACACGCCCTTATTTGTTAATGTTTGTGGTTGTTTATGGGCTGTTCTAATTTTGATTTCATTCTGTTGTGAAACCTTTATTTTTCACGTTTTTACACTCATCTAAAAATCTCTAGACTAGCCAGACTAGCTCTTGAAAATGAAATAGATATATAGACCTAAAAATTTGCTCCTGTGTGTGTGTGTGTGTGTGTGTGTGTGTGTGTGTGTGTGTGTGTGTGTGTATACATGTGCGTGTGTGAGTGTGTCTGTGTGTGGTAGTAAAGTGTGTAAGTGGAGAGTGAGGAGCGTGCGTGTGTTTGTTTTTCGGGATTTATTCAGTAACAGTTCAAAGTATACAAAAATAGAAACACAGGATCCATTCACTCCAGGGCTCATGAGTCGTTCTTCTCTTTCAGTTTTACTCATTGATTTAATTCCCATGTTCTCTCCCGCGGCTCATCCCCGTCTGCATGACTTTCACACCTCACCCCCTCCCTCCAGGCACACACAAAGAAAATCTCACACATTCCCTTGCTCCCTGCGAACCATGGACAATAATATAGACAAAACACTGCCTTAGCTGCATTCCTTTCTTTCGTGAGCTGTGGACCAGGCCAGGGGGGTCGGTGTCGTCGTCTTGTAGCTGCTGTCGCCTGTGGATACACTCGTACATTCTTCCTTTCACCTATTCTTTCACTCATACTGTCTCTCCATTCACAGCTCAGCTCGTCATACGTTCAAAAGTTGCCCACTGATCATGTTTAGTTAATGTGTGTATAAGTTTGTGTGTGTACATGTGCATGATGGTGGTGGGTGTGTGGTGGGTGTTACTGAAGGTTGTCTGTAGGCGGGCTTGCCATGCGGTGTTCCTTCCCAATCCCAGACCAGAGGCAGAATCATTGAGGCCCCTGCCCGCTCCTGCCCTGCCCTGCCCCTCACCCCTGTTATGTGATTATTACAACAGGCCCCCGCCATCCGTCCCCCGACCACCTAACAGCTATCACCAATGTGCTTTGGGTTATATAGTTTTCTGTTCTTCATGTCTAATCATAAGAGATCAATTAGAACTGACGATCGTTGGCCGTGTATGTTTGCCCATTTGTTAATACTTGTCAAGCTCAAAGTTTATATGAAAAGATATGGTCTAATATCCGCCTATTGATATCATTTTTTCATGTTTATGTAATTTCACGACTTTATTTTTGCTTACTTCCCTTTGTGATTGAATTGTTTACCTTGACTGGGAAAATGAAAAAACATTGTGAGGGAATGGAGGGAGGTGGCGGAGGGTGGGGTGGATGTGTTTGTGTGTGTGTGTGTGTGTGTGTGTGTGTGTGTGTGTGTGTGTGTGTGTGT